CTCACAAGAGATCCTGGATGGGATCCCATATGTGTTCTCACATAGGAATTTTCAACAGGGTAATTGCAAATTAATTAAAGTTGTTGTGAGATCTTCATTTTTATTTATTATTCACAATAACTGTGATTAACGATTAATTTCACAATAATATTCTAGAACACTTTAAATGTATTTTCACTATTCTTAAAATTATATTTTGAAAACGATTGAAAATGATAAATTATTTGGTTCGTAAACGCTTTATGAAAAACAACTGTCAGCTGACAGTTGCTGTCATTCACTGATCACATGTGGACAGAATGCGCAGAATCCAAAAGAGCTTTTAACGCAGCATAGGTTTCTATACAGTCTCACCCAAGTGGTCTCACGATGCAACTTCAAGCTCCCTGTGGAAAAATAGCGAAGTTGGCTCTCCTGTCTCTAGTCATCTTGATACTAGATAATATTATTTATTCATTAGAATATGATTATCAGTCTTCTTCATCGTAATCATTGTCGCAATGTACGAAAGTGAAAAAATACGAGTAAAAAAATCAATGCAACATTTAAATAGTACGTTGTCAAATGTACATAACAAAATAAACTAAACAGAGCGTTTTAAGCTGTATAACAAAAAGTATAGGCTATCCCAGATGGGTGGTGCCACCGTCTCACAACTGCACTGTAAAAAAAGGTTTTAATTTTACTATTTAAATAGTAGAATTACAAGATTCTGTAACAAATTTCGTTACAGAATTATGTTGTTTTACTGCACTCAGTTTGACAATATTAATAATTTTGAGGTTAGAAATACAAGATTCCGTAAACTTACAGTACAGTGCGGAGCGATTTTAAGAGCATTTGAACCTTCGTGACGTCACAAATCATGGCGCATGACACGCAAACTTCTCAGGTATGTGAAAAGCACAATTTTGAATATTTTTTAAAAAAACCTTTTGGAAAATGTTCAGAATAACATAGACTCTGTCTGTTATGTGCGGAAAATTGAAAATTTTGCGTTTAAAACGTTTTTTAAACAATGTTTAAGTTGGTTGTCACAAGTAAGGAAAAATACACGAATTGCTTATATGTAGGCCATTTTTGGAAAGACCAGGATAAAAATTGGAAAATTCTTATGTAATTTATCAAATATTTTAATTAATTTTATTATAAATAATAATAATTTTCCAATTTTTATCCTGGTCTTTCCAACAATGGCCTACATATAAGCAATTCGTGTATTTTTCCTTACTTGTGACAACCAACTTAAACATTGTTTAAAAAACGTTTTAAACGCAAAATTTTGAATTTTCCGCACATAACAGACAGAGTCTATGTTATTCTGAACATTTTCCAAAAGGTTTTTTTAAAAAATATTCAAAATTGTGCTTTTCACATACCTGAGAAGTTTGCGTGTCATGCGCCATGATTTGTGACGTCACGAAGGTTCAAATGCTCTTAAATGGCGATTGTAAAATTCCAGTCCCAATGCAAAGCCCTACTGTGTCATGGTTTTTTTCCTCGCATACACTATAATGTAATTTTATGGACGAGTGTAAAGTTACATTTTTTAGTTAATTTACATTTTGAAATTATAAATATCATGAATTTTGTAAAATTACTAAGTAAAAAGTAAAAAAGCAATTTTTTCATTGTAAAATCACATATTGATAGAAAAATACATCGACAATTAAATTTTCTTTAAATTTAAAAATTTGTTTACTTTTGCATTTTTTGTCTGATTTCGTTTACTAAACAACTATTTTAATAATCTGTTATAATTAAATATTAATGTCGTTTCGTATGTCGTCTTGTTACATCGGGTACTTCGAATCACAATTATTAGTTAAATTTCTTAAATTTACAACTTTTAGTAATTTTACAGGCGCTAGTGAATCCACATAATCTCAATGTACAGTTACTATATATATCCTGTAAAACTGTCCCATACAGTGTAAGTTTTTTAACTCGCATACACTGTATATACACTACCGTCCGAAATTGTGCGAACTCTGCTTTTTCAACAACTATAAAACTGTTCAAATCTTCAAAAATATTAAAACTAAAATTTTTTTCTCTTTATTTTATTAAAGTTAATAAAATTCTGAAAGAAATGACACCTTGACAAAGAGAATATGTTAATTTTTCAATTAGATATCTAGGAAAAACCCAATTTTCAATGTTTTTACTATTTTTTTTATTTCTCTGGCAAAAATTAATATTTTTAAACGTTCTTAGGCTCATTGAAATCGTATTTTGTTATGCAATTCAAATTATATAAAACAATTCATGTACACATTCTCCCCTAGCGTATGCAAACCGTGAAATTTGGCTCATAAAATGTCAAAAAATTTAAATTTAATTCTACAATAAAATATAATGTTTAAAAATCAAGTAAATATATCATTCTAAACTTCTCTGATTTATGTAAGTAAATTTAAGATTTATACATTTTACTGATCATTTTTTGTCATATAAATATTAATCACAATTTTTTGACATTTTATGAGCCAACTTTCACGGTTTGCATACGCTAGGGAAGAATGTGTACATGAATTGTTTTATATAATTTCAATTGCATAACAAAATACGATTTCAATGAGCCTAAGAACGTTTAAAAATATTAATTTTTGCCAGAGAAATAAAAAAAATAGTAAAAACATTGAAAATTGGGTTTTTCTTAGATATCTAATTGAAAAATTAACATATTCTCTTTGTCAAGGTGTCATTTCTTTCAGAATTTTATTAACTTTAATAAAATAAAGAGGAAAAAATTTTAGTTTTAATATTTTTGATGATTTGCACAGTTTTATAGTTGTTGAAAAAGCAGAGTTCGCACAATTTCGGACGGTAGTGTAAAATTACAGAGAAATTTTTTACAGTGTGGTGACATGCTGTGTCTCGCACAACCAGAAATTGGCGCTATTTTAAAAAGGAAAAAAAATTTTCAACCGTAGATTAGAACAATGCAATATTTCATCATAAAATATAAGGAAAGTACTAAGTGAAAATGCAAAGCATTTACCTTTTCTAATTAATTAACTTGGAAAAAACGTACTTTGCATTTATATTGAAAAAAAAGTTTTTTAGTCGATTCTCACACACAGTGTTGGCATCTAACAAAACCAATATGTATATATATGCGCTTCAGTGCACACTCAAAGTTACCTTATAAAAAGAAATGTTTTTATATAAAGCAATCGGCTTTTTAATATTGCGTGTTAAAAAAATCGACTGTCTCACAACTGGATACACTTCCTTACTATAAGCATTGAAAGTCTTCAATATAAAAATAGAATTCCCTTCCAAGTGTGTAATTTGTAAAGTAGTAAATTCGATTAACAGGAAAGTAAAAAACAAAACAAGTTTATGTAATTTTTTAAAGTTGCGACGTTTCGATGGTGTGGTTTACCATCCTCCTCAGACTAATTTCTTTTCCAATATTAAATTCAGTTTTGACTTGATCGTTGTATCGAAATGACGGCTTTCGTCGTGTGCTTTTGTCTGTAACGTTTATTAATTTATTTAAAATATTTTTTAATCTTTGTCTAATTGCTATGTAAAATATATTTTAATACTTAGGTATAATACTATTAATTTTATTTATAAAAAAAATTTTTGTTATCACTTTTATATTCTGTATTTTGTTAATTTTGGTGTTTTTAAATAAAGTAGCCTGAGGAGGATGGTAAACCACACCATCGAATCGTCGCAACTTTAAAAAATTACATAAACTTGGTTTATGTTTCTTACCTTCCTGTTGATCGAATTTACTACTTTACGAAAGTTTTTAATGTTTATTTGATTTTTAATAATTTTTAAGCGATTTCAGCAGGTGGTCCACTCATGGATACAAATTTTTTTTGTCAAAAAAACACCACTTCAGAAAATCGATCAAAAATTTTTCTTTAAAGCTAAAAAAAATCTATATATATATATGATTCATAGCTGAGGATAATACCTATCCAACGGTGTATTTTAGTTATTAAATTTCCTTCATTAAAAAAGATTATTTAAAAAAATAAAAAGGTGGTCCACTCATGGATACATTCCCGTATATTTTATATATACGTATGAATAATACATATAAAATAATCTGTACACGAAAAAATCTGTACGAGCGAAAAAACATGCTTTTATAGTATGAAGTGGCACACGTTTAATGTATGAATCTTTCTCATGCTATTACAGTATGACATTCATAGTTTCTCAGTAAGAAGTCCATACGCCAAACTTATGTAAGTCAAATTCTTACATCAAGCGCCCAGTAACATCGTGAGGATGTCTTTTTGCGGACGTCTTTAATTTGTTCCGTATGGTACATCTTAAAAACGTGAATAATACGTCTGAGGTACGTTCAAAAAAGGTTCTATATCTGTTCATAAAGATGTCTTTATTATGTCTAAAGACGTCTTTTTCAGATTTTGAAAATAGAAAATTTTTCATAAAAATAACTTTTTTATATTTTATGTTCTAAGTTCAACGTAAACATCGAAACAGTTTAAGATAAATGTTATAGAAATTTCTTAAGTTAAACTTAGAAAAAAAACTTGGAAAATATTCTGAAGTAGATATATCTAAGTCCTAAAGACGTCTTTAGGACGTCTTTTAGACATCCTTTTTGAATGTCTTTTAGACGTCTTTTGAACGTCTTTTGGCCACGACATTGAACATGTTAAAGACGCTCTTTGGATGTCTTCATGATGTCTTCGAGACATTATCATCAAAATTCCCAGGATGTCCGCGGACAAAAAAAGACGTTTTTAGGATGTCTCTCAAACGTCCCGGTGCCCACTGGGCGTATGAACAAGTCATGCTAGGAAAGTATGAACCACTTTCATACTAAAAACGCATGGTATTTCTCTCCGTGTATATTTAATAATAATAATAAGTTTTAAATCCTATAAATTTATATAAATGAAATGTTATACAATATGTACTTATGCAGAATTTTTTATCTGTCAAACAAATACGTGCTTCTGTTGTTCCTGTCTTAATTAAATACAATTTATTTTTTCCAGGAACCTATTTTAATTGCATCATGTTTATGGTTGCAAGTAGTGTCGTGAGCACGATTCTTATATTAAATTATCATCATCGCAATTCTGATACGCACGAGATGTCAGATTGGGTAAGTTAAATATTATATTAAATAACTTTTAGATACTATATTTACGACTATGTTAAAAATGTTCTTCTTAAATGAATTGAAATCATCAAACGTTAATGAGCATATCTCTAAAACTTTTAAACTTTTAGGTATTAGAAAAATTAATTTTTTTTCAAGGCACATTCTTGAAGTAAATTTTATTGTCTTCAGTATTGATCAAATATTAGAAAAAAAATTGGGTAACTCATTTTTACACATTGTTACGCTGCAGTGAGTCAGATTGAAAAAAACAAAAATGAAAAAAAATGCCAAAACGTCGAACAGACAAAATTTCCAATGGACAAAATGTCGAATTTTTTTAATGAGATGAGGTTACTCTCTACATTAAATTTCTATAAAATGGGTTGTAGTTTCGACATTTGTCCATTCGTCGTCTTGGCTGAGTTTTTGCTAACTTGGCAGCGGTAGTGACCGGATGGAATATGTTCCGGCACTCCATGCATTTACCATTATCTTTGTTCTATCTTTGATTTGTTCAAACAAGTTTTAGTACATTTTTAGCCAAGTTCTGTGTTGTGAATACATATGATTTGTTCTGCTTTTGAAAGCAACTTTTTAACCTTTCTTTTAAACCGTTCGATCTACCACGTGCTTTCCGAAGTGTTCTTTGAATTTTGTTCTAATCCTGATTGTTTCTGAGTTTTGTTCTATAAGCGAGTGTGACTTCTACCCTCGCCCATTGTATCCTTTTTGTGAAATATCCGAATTTTTTGTGTCACCCTGAGGACCCATTTTATTATTTTATTCTGTTCCGTGCGTCTTCTCATGAATTTTACTGGTTTTATCTGAGTTTGAGTTTTTATGTAAACATCTTTTGTATATCTGCGGTGTCACCTTGCAGTGTTGTGGTCTTCGACAGTTTAATATCTTAACTGTATACCCCTTGTTCAAGGTTTAAGTATATTTAAGGTGTTTGAAACCCGGTGTTGACATTTTCCCGCCTTACAAGTACAATTGATGTTTCTCACTCAATCTGAGTTTGTTTCTCATTGTTTGACCCAGAGGGATAGCTTGACTTCAGTAGTCTTACTCTATCCTTCCATTGTTTTATTTTTCTGATAGAAAGTTAGAAATTGTTATTGAGATCAATTATATATATATATATATATATATATATATGAGACGTTTCACGTCAACCGGCCCAGAGCTCTGTCCAAAAATCTACTAAACGAAAATTGACTTATTATGGCTTAAAATAACCGTCAGCTCATACTCTTTCAAATAAAAAGTGGCGAATTCAAAAATTAAAAATGGCGTCCTTCCTGTGACAACTTTTTCCAATTTTTTTACTGACTCAGCAAACAAATGTATTAATTATCTTGAACAAATCATTGCTATTAGTTAGAGAATAGGTCACTCTTATGTTTTTGGGGTCGCCGAAAATAAATCTGAATTCAGATTTAAAAAATTTTCAAAATTCAAAATGGCGGATCCAATATGGCAGACAGGTTTTTAAAAACTTAATGGATTCGCTTGAAACTTGTTACTCGGGGGTTTTTGGGGTCGCTGATTACGAATCTGAAGTCAGATTTTGAAAATTCAAAATTTTAACTACTGTTTAAACAATTTATTATTGTTATTTACAAACTTTTTTCTAATTCCACCAAAAAATGCAATGTTTCCCTAGTTTTGCAACTTACCGAATTAAGTATAATAAGAAATACGGACTTTAATAAAATTATTATTTAAATTATTGTTATTTACAAACTATTTCTAATTCCACGAAAAAATTGCAATTTTTTCGTAATTTTGCAACTTATAAAATTAACAATAATAGTTGGAAGTTAAATTTTTCAATTTAAAAATCAACTCAAAAAGAGAGTTAATAATTATATTAACTCCTCGGTAAGAAGCGAGAAATAGAGAAAGATTGAAATTTTGCATATATTAAGCAAAACTTGATCATTTTCAATTATTCTGAATAGGCGTATTGACGTTTTCACCCAATTCCCCAGTGAACATCTAAATATCAAAAAAATGAATTCTTTTCTATTCCCAGTACAGATAAGTCAATAGAAAAGAATTCAAACTTTCTATTTTTCAAAATGCGCAAAGTTCTTTATTTTCAAACTTTTCGGCAGCGAATAGAAAAAAATTAAATGTTTGGAGAGTAAATTCTAAATGTCTATTTCTTTCAATCGCCAGCTTCAAAATTTCCATGAAAGGAATAAGAAATTTGAAAAGTGAAGTACATGTGGTTATTTCTATAAATTGACTATAGCTCAGGACATTTGGAGCACATTTAGAGGAATAGAAAATGTGGAGAATAAATGAGGCATTTCTATATTTTACAATTGACTGCGTCAGGTTATATGTATAATTTAGAGTATAAACTTTGACCAAGTCAATTAAGAAGAATAGATTTTTCTACTTTTTTTTGCTTTATCGAGGAATTGAATAAAAACGTAAATTCACTAATTCAAAAGAATTGGAACTCTGAATTCTTTTCAATTATTCGCTTCTTACCGGGTCCTTAAAAGTAACGCCCTAGTAATGAAATTAATTCGTAAATTATTAACTATCCTTTTTCTTTAATTCCATAAGGGTGTACTTTTATAGCGTTCCCAAGAGAGTTGAAAGTCAACTCTTTTTTTACATTTAATGAGAACCTTAACCCCAACAGTAAAACCTTAATATTTACTACAGATTTATAAACAGCCATCTTAAAAACTTGTTACTCGGGGGTTTTTGGGGTCGCTGATTACGAATCTGAAGTCAGATTTTGAAAATATTAAATTAATTAATTAATTTGATACTTCTAACTCAGGAGTTTTTAAGATGGCTGTTTATAAATCTGTAGTAAATATTAATTATACTTATTATACTTAATTCGGTAAGTTGCAAAACTAGGGAAACATTGCATTTTTTGGTGGAATTAGAAAAAAGTTTGTAAATAACAATAATAAATTGTTTAAACAGTAGTTAAAATTTTGAATTTTCAAAATCTGACTTCAGATTCGTAATCAGCGACCCCAAAAACCCCCGAGTAACAAGTTTCAAGCGAATCCATTAAGTTTTTAAAAACCTGTCTGCCATATTGGATCCGCCATTTTGAATTTTGAAAATTTTTTAAATCTGAATTCAGATTTATTTTCGGCGACCCCAAAAACATAAGAGTGACCTATTCTCTAACTAATAGCAATGATTTGTTCAAGATAATTAATACATTTGTTTGCTGAGTCAGTAAAAAAATTGGAAAAAGTTGTCACAGGAAGGACACCATTTTTAATTTTTGAATTCGCCACTTTTTATTTGAAAGAGTATGAGCTGACGGTTATTTTAAGCCATAATAAGTCAATTTTCGTTTAGTAGATTTTTGGACAGAGCTCTGGGCCGGTTGACGTGAAACGTCCCATATATATATATATATATATATATATATATATATATATGTATGGCCTATACGCTTTGAATTCAATTCTCGCATGTATTCTTCTCATGGGAATTTATAATGATTCTTGAATGAATTCAACGTATGGCAAATTCATTTTCCTTGTACTCGACTTGTCCGTTTCCAAGCGAACAATATATTTGATCGAGGGGGAATTTACTCAGGTAGTCAAGTGTACACTCTTCCTGTAATACTTGTGTAATAACGTGTAATACCGTGTAATAATGTTTTATTACGGTGCTGTAATAACGCAAAAAAATCTGTAATATCTCTGTAATAATGTGTAATACTCTGTAATAACGTGTAATACTCTGTAATAACGTGTAATAACTTAGTAATAAGAGTAATATGAGGTGTAATACCGGTAGTCAAGTGTACATGTTTTTAACTAGTAAATTCCCCCTCGTATTTGATTCAATCTCAAATTTCCTATAAGCTGGATTTACTTTGCTGATGTCTAACCTGTATTACCAACAGTGTAGCATATAGTGTATTCTAGAACTTTGTCGTCTTCTAAGTTTATTGTTCTGACAGTTGGCAGTGCCTCAAGTCATTAAGTAGAAGAAGAAGTAGAAGAAGTCGTCTTGGCTGTTTGACGTATTGGCTTTGAGACATTTTGGCTGTTCGACGTCTTGACTGTTCTGTGAAAAGCAAGCGTCTCCTAAAAATCCCCGAGTAACAAATTTCAGTCCAATTGGATCAATTTTTTAAAAAGTCGTCGGTCATATTGGATCCGCCATTTTGAATTTTGAAAAATTAATTCCAGATTTGCAGTCAGCGACCCCAAAAACCTCCGAGTAAGAAATATCTGGCAGTTGTAAACACATCTATTAGTTTAATACGTTTTAAAATTAAATGTTTAAAGTCATTGCATTCTTTATGTAAAGGATTAACACATTCCTATATAAGGGTCCAAATTACTTCTTATTGTGTAGATAATATAGTCCCGTTGTATCGTTGTATCGAATTTTTGAAAAAGTTGTTACGCAAGTTTTAAGCTACATAATTTTTATCCAACTTGAGACACATCATTGTCTTATGGATTTTTCAGTTCTTTACACTCCCACCTACTTCTATGATAAGCCACAAGATATATAATGTTTCGTTAAAAAAGTTACATTCTATAAACTACAAAAATCGGACAAGTGCGAGTTACACTAGCACTGAAATCGAGGGTTAAATACTCAAAGCGAACTTATTTGGTATAAAAAAAATGTTTAAAAAATATGTGTTGTATGTTAAATAATATAAGTGATACAAAAAGGAACAATTTTGAAAAAAAAATTTTACGAAAATTGTTCCTCCTTTGGTATAAAAAAAAAATTTTTAAATATGTGGTATATGTCAAATAATATAAGTGATACGAAGAGGAACAATTTTCTTAAATTTTACAAAATAGTTACTTTTTGTATCACTTATATTATTTGACATACAACACATATTTTTTAAACATTTGTTTTTATACCAAATAACTTCGCTTCGAGTACGGAACCCTCAATTTCAGTGCGAGTGTATCTCGCACTTGTCCGATTTTTTTCCTTAAAATTATCATTTTTCTTTAAAAATTTTA